GAGACCAAAGACTTGGTAACAATCTAGGAATTCCTACAGGTTATTATCAGCTCTGTCTAAAAAATCAGCAAAATCACTTTGGTTCTGTGCAAGTGTATGTCAACTTTGGAGTCTTCTATGAAGGGCCAGAGATGGACCACAAACAGATTCAAAGAAAACAACTGAACGATACCCTGGATGCAATTCAGGTAATGTTTTCTGTGAGAGAGAGATATCCATGGGAACTGATTTTAAATTTGGAGGAAGGATTAAAGAGTAGAAACCAAACAGGCAGGAAGATGTGAATCCTTTTAACAGATTTTTAAGACTTGGACTCTTTTTATTTTTTTTAAGAGAGAGAGAGAGAGAGAGAGAGAGAGAGAGAGAGAGAGAGAGAGAGAGAATTTTTTTTTAATATTTCTTTTTTAGTTCTCGGCAGATACAACATCTTTGTATTTGGTGCTGAGGATCGAATCCCGGGCTGCACACATGCCAGGCGAGCGCGCTACTGCTTGAGCCACATCCCCAGCCCCTGGACTCTTTTTAAAAATATATATTTTTAGTTGTAGATGGACACAATACCCTTATTTTATTTATTTATTTTTATGTGGTGCTGAGGATTGAACCCAGTGTCTCACACATGTGAGGCAAGTGCTCCACCACTGAGCCACAACCCCAGTCTAATTTATTCCACGGGCTTCCAAACTAAGACTCACAAACCAAATAGGGCCTACTATCTGTATGTATGTATATACACACACAAACTGAGAAATAATCCATACACATTTCACTAGATTTTAGTATATTCACAAGATTGTACAACCATCTCTAGCATCTAATCCAGAATAATTTCATCACCCCCCAAAGAAATTGTACCCGTTAGTCACTCTCCATTCCCCCATAATCTCCTCAGCTCTGGCAACCACTATTCTATTGTTTCTATAGATTTACCCTATCCTGTAAATTTCACATACATGGAATCATACATGGGACCCTTTGTGATTGGTTTCTTCCACTCATCATGTTTTCAAGGTTTATCCATGTGGCACATATTAGCACTTTATTCCTTTTTATGGCTGAATGATATTCTCTTTTTTTTTTTTTTTTTGAATTTTTTTTAATATTTATTTTTCAGTTCTCGGCGGACACAACATCTTTGTTGGTATGTGGTGCTGGGGATCGAACCCGGGCCGCACGCATGCCAGGCGAGCGCGCTACCGCTGAGCCACATCTCCAGCCCTAAATGAATGATATTCTCTTGTGTGAACATACATTTTATTATCCACTTAGCAATTGAGGGAACTTTGAGTTGTTTCCACCCTTTGGCTACCACAACATTGCCATGAATATGTGCCTCCAAGCATTGTTTCTACCTTGTCTACCTAAAAGTAGAACTGTTGGGTTACATTGTAACCGAAATGTTCCCATTAGCTGTGTATGAGGGTGATTTTGACACATCCTGACACTTATTTTATAGTCATACTGTAGGTATGAAGTGGAATCTTGTGGTTTGAGTTACATTCTCTAATAATTAATGTTACACATATTTTCAAGCGTTTATTGACCATGTGTATGTTTGGTACTAGGGATTGAGTCCAGAAATGCTTTACCACTGAGCTATATCCCCAGCCTTCTTATGTTTTGAGAGGTTCTTGCCAAGTTGCTTAGGGACTAAGTTACCAAGGCAGGCCTTAAAATTGTGACCCTCCTGCCTCAGTCTCCCAAATCGCTGGGAGTGCAAGAGTGCACTACTGGGCCTGAGTTTCACAGGGTTTCATTAAATTGCCTAGGCTGACTTTGAATTTGTGATCCACTTTTTTCAGCTTCCTGAGTTGCTGGTATTACACATGCTTGGCTGCATATCTTCTTTAAAAATACTTTGCTCTTATTTATTTATTTTTGGTACCAGGGATTCCCTTTATTATATTTTATTAGAAACAGGATCTCATCGAGTTGTTTGGGACCTTGCTAAATTGCTGAGGCTGGGTTTGAACTTGATCCTACTGCCTAAGCCTCCTGAGCTGCTGGAATTACAGGTGTGCACTACCATGCTCAGCTTCCTTTGCCCATTTTAAAATTGGATTTTTGAGTTGGGGGTTTGATTCAGTTGTAGAAAACTTGCCAAGTATTCACAATTCTAGCACCTCCACTCCTGCCAGTAATTCTTTTTATTTTTTGTGGTACTGGAGATTGAACCTAGGTGCATTCTATCACTAAGTCACACCTCCCCGTCCTTTTTATTTTGAAATAAGATCTTGCTAAATTGACAAGGCTGGCCTCAAACTTGAGATCCTCCTTTGTCAAGCTTCCCAAGTCACTGGAATAGTAGGCATGTGCCACAATGCCCAGGTTGTTGTGTTTGTATTGTAGAGTTGTTAAGTTTTACTTACATAACCTGGACAGGAGTCCATATCAGATATATGATTTGCAGGTATTTTCTCTCATTCTATGGGATTTTCATTTTCATTCTTTGTTTTCCTTGTTGTTCTGGAGACTGAATCCAGGGTCTTGTGCACACTAGTCTTGTGACCTACCACTGAGCTGCAACCCAGCCCTTTCTTAAATTTTGAAACAGGGCTCACTAAGCTAAGCTGCTCAGGCTGGCCACAAACTTGTGATCCTCCCACCTCAGCCTTCCAAGTAGTCAGGATTATAGGCATGTGCCACAGTGCCCAGTTTTTCTTTCCTGATAGTCTCCTTGGTGCACAAAAGCTTAGTTTTGTAAGTGAAAGTTTTATTTTTATTTATTTTTGTGGTACTGGGGACTGAACACTATTGTAAATGGATGTTTTATTTGAAGTCATGCTTATTTGACAAATATAAGCATCTATGAACTGCTTTTGTGCTGCAGTGGCAGAATTTGTAGTTGTAAGAGATGAGATGGCCAGTAAAACTCAAAATATTTACTGTCTGTCCCTCAGAGTCTGCAGGCAGAAGAAATTACCAAAAGAGTAATGAAAGGCTTAATACATGCTTAAATCTAGAGATTTTCTGGAAAGAGCTTTCTACTTAAAGCACTGAAGCCGTTTCATCATTAAAAAAACAAAAAAAAAATTTTTTTTGGTTGGGGTGTAGCTCAGTGGCAGAGCATTTGTCTACTACATATAAGGCCCCGGGTTTTAACCCCAGCACTGCACAATGTTTGTTTGTGTGTGTATGTGTGTTGGGGATTGAACCTAGGTCCTTGAGCATGCCAGGCAAGCACTATACCACCAACCCACATCCCCAGTTCCCACAATATTAAAAAAAAAAAAAAAAGCCACTCTACCACACTGTTGTATAGTCCACTTTTCATATACAGCAAAACTTTCTTTTTTTTCTTTCTTTTTGGTACTAGGAATTGAACCTAGAGCCACTCTACTGGAGTCATAATCTTACCCTGCACTACACTCCCTTTTTGAGTCAGGGTCTCACTTGGTTGCCTTTAAATATTAAACTTGTGATCCTTGATTCTCTAGTCCCAACCTCCCAAGTGACTGGGATTACAAGAGTGTGCCACCACACCCAGTTTCAAAATTAGCATTTATCAACTATAATAGTTTTATAGAGCTGGAGTTTTAGCTTAGCAGTACAGCATTTGCCTAGAATGTGCTGGTTTGAGCCTCAGCATAGCCAAATAAATACTATATCTTAAAATCATAAGGAAATTACTTGACTTTAAGATAGGTTAGTGCTGCTGAGCACTCATGAGGATAGGTGGGGAATGGATCCCTTTCTTTATTTTTTCCTCCTATAGGAGAGTACACGAAAGGTGCACAACAATGTCTTCCACATGTGGCGATTCTACACCTTGGCACGAATGAGGAAAATGGCTGACTTTTTCCTTGTCCAGTCAAACTACACCTATGTGAACTGGTGGTCAGCAGTTCAGAGCCTTGTTATTGTTCTTTCTGGGATTTTGCAGCTCTATTTCTTGAAGCGTCTCTTCAGTGTTCCAACAACTACTGACACAAAGAAGCCAAAATGCTAAGCTGACTACAGCATCCTGTCTTTTTTTTTTACTGGGGCAGCAGCTTTTTCAAAACTTTGGTCAAATCACCTTTGTAAAATTATTGGGGGGAAAAAATCAATTTAATATTTTAATTTATTACCCTTAACAATAAAAGCAAAATGGCAATAAAATAATAAAAATGCAAATGTTCAGAGTTTAACTATTTCTAAAATATGAATTAAATGCCAAGATTAAAAAACTTTTCATCATAGAACAGTCCATTAGCCTTCAGTGATTCTACTTAGAAGTTAACAGAAAACCCTGGAAGGAAGAAGAGTAGATAACGGGACAAAAGCAAATTTGCTTGCAGAGATTAACAGGAGTTGGTAGAGTGCTTTTTGTAGTTTAAAGTATTTTATTTTCAGAGATGTTTCTTTTGGAATTAAAAATTTTATATTCATTTAAGAAATTGTTTTGTTTTACAGTACACGTGGTTTTTAAAACTTCTGGCTCTGAAATGTTCTCCTTTATAAAATATTTTAATTCTACAAGAGATTTTGGGGAAGTATGAGGATGAAGGAGCTAAATTATTTCAGGGTTTGTAATTAGTGCTTTTTTGTCCAGTCTAGTCAGGTTGATAAATGTTTTATAAAATCAAAGAAATTAACAAAATTACAAACTGGGATCATCCCATCCAAGAAAAAGAAGATAAAAAGAAAAAAAATAATCAAATTATACTCATAAGACCACATGCTTACTTAGTAAAAGAAATATATAATATAAAAATAACTCCTCTACCATTTTCTCCAACACCCATTGTTTGCCACGCACTGTGCCTTATGCTTTACAATCATGATTCCTAATCCTAAAAAACATTCTTAGACTGATGGCTAAAGTTGGTTTTTTTTTTTAACAGAAGGAAATGAAGCTTACGGAAGCTCAACAACTTATTCATAGCCGTATAGCTGACAAGTGGCAGAAGTAGGATTTTTTTTTTTTTTTTTTTTAGAATTTTATTTATAATATTTATTTTTTAGTTTTCGGCGGACACAACATCTTTGTTTGTATGTGGTGCTGAGGATCGAACCCGGGCCGCACGCATGCCAGGCAAGCGCGCTACCGCTTGAGCCACATCCCCAGCCCAGAAGTAGGATTTGAATCCAAGTTTTTCTTCCATACCAAATAGCACTTACTGTATAGAAAAGCAGCTGACTAAATTGCACTTATTATTTTAGCCAAATTCATACCTAAAACCTCAGACATGGCCAAGTATTATATAGCAATATCTTTTGTGAATTAATAAATAACAAAGAAAATCCATTGTGTTCTTACCATTAGTCTGGAAAACAGTGTTATCACAGATAACAATAATACTATATTCTTGTCCTCAGTTCCAATAATTTAGAAGCTATTACTCAGAACAAGAAGCTCCCTGATTCAAATATAAAAGTATTCTATTTAGTTACAAATACAAATGATCTAAAACCCCACTTTTGAGTCACTTCTGTATAGTAAGAATCAGCCTGCACCTGTCAGTGATAATGAGAATATTAAACTAAGAAGTCCCTGTAGAGGTCACAGCGCTGACAAAACTCAGCATGATGGCGGCGTCTGCATAGACACAGGAAACAAAGCTAGGCCCTTCAACACAGATGTTAAGTTCTTGCGATGACTTCATTTTAAGTCAATGTCTCTTCATGCCGTACATATTCCCCAATGTCTGCTTGATGAAATACCACAATCGCCATGGGGTCTACTTTTCTGCAGTCTTGTGTAGACTTTGCTGCTACCCCAAAACCCTGGGATTCAAAAGAAGAGACACTAATTCACTCAAGTCATTCAATAAGCCCATGTTGAGGGCTGAAAATAATAAAAAACACAATTCTTGTCCTAGAGGAATTCAAAAGGTGCTTAGAAATTAGTTTCTCAGAAGCACAAATTGAAAATACATCCTTCTTGAATAAAAAGACACTTGGTTTTTGTAATAGCTACCATCTTTACTTACCAAAGGGATGTCTGCCATGGAGTATACCACCACTCCCTGGTACTGAGAGGTGTTTTCAGTAATTCGACCCAGACCAGATTTCAATACATGGTTTCCATAGAGGAAGGACTGCTCTGCTCCAGGCTTTATCCATACTTTATACTGTAAGATAGAATTAAAATGCAAAAGAGAAAAAAAAAAAACACACATACAGTAATAGTTATATCCCTGTGGATAAGTCAGCTGCTGTTTTGTGATTATTTTTTTTWAAAATATTTTGCTTTTTAGTTGTAGTTGGACACAATATCTTTATTTTATTTTTATGTGGTGCTGAGGATGGAACCCAGGGCCTCCCACGTGCTAGGTAAGCACTCTACCACTGAGCCACAACTCCAGCCCCTGTGATTATTTCTGAAAACAATTCTGGGGGCTGGGATTGTGGCTCAGCGGTAGAATGCTGGCCTAGCACGAGCGGGACCCAGGTTCGATCCTCAGCACCACATAAAAATAAAGGCATTGTGTTGTGTCCACCTACACCTAAAAAATAAATATTAAAAAAAAAAAAGAATTTGGGGGAAGGGGTAGGTGCATTTTTTTCCCCTCAAATTGTTCATCCACTGATCAGAACTGCCAAAAAGTTTTCTCAACTCCCATGGACAGTTTCTTTTTCTGAATCCCAGTACCCTCCTCATCACAGCCATTTATCTGGTYTCTGATCTGCACAGGCTTTTCTACTTTGCTGGAGATTACTACTATGCAGCTGCATGGCCAGGCAGCAAGACTTTAAAAAGTCTCCTTGTGCTGGCACTGGGCCAGGTACTCCACAGGAAAACAGCTGCCCAATGATTTGCGTTCTTTTTTGTTTTTGGTACCGGGGATTGAACCCAGAAGTGCTTTGAGCTGTTGCCTTTTTTTTTTTTTCCTTTTGTTTTGAGACAGGATCTCACAAAATTGCAGAGGCTGCCTCGAAACAGGCATCCTACTGGCTCAGCTTCCCGAGTTGCTGGGATTATAGCGTATCACCATTCTAAAGTGCCCCTTAACTTTGATCTCCTTCCAAGTGTCGAAATGGAAAGCATCCCACAAACCTTGGCATAGGGTGCAAGGTAATCCAGAGCTGTAATGTGCAAACGGAACTTGTGGGTCTTAGTGAATTTTCCAAAGCAGGTCCCCAGCGATACTAGCTTGTCCCCGGAGATATTGGCGGCCAGTTTCAAAATCTTCTCACTAATGGGATAAGCAGGAGAAAGGTTTCGAGTTAGGGAGGCTGAGGGGACGCAAGCCTCCACTTTATCCACACTGCCCGCTCAGCAACGCCTCACCTCACGTAGTACACCCGGTCGTTGTGCAGCCTGAAACAGTAGGTGCCATCGGGCCTGTCGACCAGCAGCTGAAGATTCTCCCCGATGCTGAGAGTAAAAAGAGGACTGGAGGCCGCGCCCGAACGGATTCACCCCGTACCGTGTCCCCACTCCACCCAGGGTCCACCGCGCACACACTCCCTCGTCCGCCCCATGTGCTCCTACTATTTGGCTATCTTCTCAAACATTACACGGGTCTCCTCCTCAGTTAAAGGCCGCATTTTCCCTCTAGGTTGAAACACCGGATCCTCGTGCTCCGCTGCCAGGAACGGAAGTCGGGTTCCGGCGGTTCCCTGGCAACCCCAAAGCCTGCCTCTCTAGCCCCGTCCTGCACTAGTGCCCCCTAACGTGGAGGACCGCCGAGGAAAGCAAATCCTCCAGGGAAGAAACCATAGAGACAGGAAATGTGACCCTGTTGCTTCCGGCCCTAGGCGCTCAGCGCCCTCACCGGTCTGGAGGGGAAGTGACGCAGCTGCGGGGAAGATGGCGGCTGCAGCGACTCTCCCATCTTCATCCACGGCTTCGGCCACGGCARCGGCAGCGGCAGCGGCTCTCGGAGAAGTGGAGGATGAAGGACTCCTGGCATCGCTCTTCCGGGACCGCTTCCCCGAGGCTCAGTGGCGGGAGCGGCCCGATGTGGGCCGCTACCTCCGGGAATTGAGCGGTTCGGGGTTGGAGAGGCTGCGGCGCGAGCCCGAGCGCCTGGCCGAGGAGCGGGCACAGCTGCTGCAACAGACACGCGACTTGGCCTTCGCCAACTACAAGACCTTTATCCGTGGCGCGGAGTGCACTGAGCGTATCCATCGCCTCTTCGGCGACGTGGAGGAGTCGCTTGGCCGCCTGCTCGATCGCTTGCCCAGCTTCCAGCAGAACTGCAGGTGCAGCCGCCCGGCCCTAAAGGAATCTCTAGTTATGATAGCTGACATTTAGGATGACAGAGATAGCTAACACGTTGCGCATACTATGTGCCAGGCTCTCCTCTGAACACTTTATTAATCCATTTAAACCTCACGATAKACTTCGAGGTAGATTACTATTTTATGAATAAGGAAGTGGAGACGTAGGTTAGTGACTTGTTCATTAACACAGCAACTAAGTTTTCAAGTCATGATTGGAATCCAGTCCTTGTAGGATTTCTGTACTAAATGAAAAGAATCCATGCAAAGCATTTATCATTGGGTCTGACATAGAATAAATGCCAACTTAATATATGTGCACACTTATGTAAATATGTAAATATGACAACAGCTCAGATAGGATGCCATCTGTGTCAGAACTTCCAGGGATAGGAAGCTGACTAGAAAATCCTCCCATTTGGGGGCATCAAAGACAATCAAAATTTCGTTTTTGAGCCATATTGTACTTCCTTGGGTCACAGTCCAGTTTTTCTAAGTTGTAGTCCAGCCTTTTATGATTCAAGYTTAATTTTACTTTTGATCCTTTGGATATTTGACAATAGCTTTTGTATCCTCCACGCCCCAAAATAGAGAAGGGACTTCATAAAGCAAGTCTCTGCAGTTATTACAGAGAAATAACAAAGTAGAATGTAGTGGGAATTAAAGTTGAACAGTAGCATAGGAGAGTGAAACCTGAGGGAACTTGGGGCAAGATTGTTAGTGCTTTATTATGAAAATAATAGTTTTAAAAGAATATTTGTCTCTTTTATTCTGCCACATTTACATTGCATCAGGTCTGTGTTAAGTGCTTCACATGCATCATCTCACTTAATTCTGGCATCATTTGAGGTAGATTGTATTAATGGTGAAGCACAGTGGTACATGCCTATAATCCCAGTCACTTGGGAGGCTGAGGCAGGAGGATTGCAAACTGAAGACCAACTTTAGCAACTTATTGAGGCCCTGAGGACTTAGCAAGAAAAAAAATAGGAATGTGATTTAGTGGCTAAGCAACCCTGGGTTCAAAAAAAAAAAAATTACCAATGAAGAAACACTTCTGGAGAGCCTAAGTCCCTTGCTACAGCTACTTAGTTCCCCTTTATGGGATCTGGAACAGTCTAATCCTCTGCCAGTCCATGGCAGCTGATTCAGATCTATCATTTATTAGTTGTGTGATCTTGGACAAGTTGCTTCCCCTGAGATTAAAAATTCCCTCAAGTACATTTATTTACTTTATAGGTTTGGTTGTAAGGATTAAATCAGGTAAGCCATCTAACCCAGTGCCCAGTTTACAGTCAATGCTTGRTAATTAGCTAAGGTTTGGGGGCAGAGCATTAAGGGACTAACATCATCCTGTTTGTAGGAACTTTGTGAAGGAAGCTGAGGAGATCAGCTCCAACAGACGGATGAACACCCTGACTCTAAACCGGCACACAGAAATCCTGGAAATTCTGGAGATCCCTCAGCTTATGGATACCTGTGTCCGGAACAGCTACTATGAAGAGGCCCTGGAGCTTGCAGCCTATGTACGGCGATTGGAAAGGAAATACTCCTCCATTCCTGTCATCCAGGTAGCCTGCTTGCCCAGAGTATTCAAGCTGAATTTTTTCTCCCCAGTACTGGGGATTGCCCTCAGACCTTTTTTTATTCTTTTAGGACTGGGGATTGAACCCAGGAGTACTTCACCACTGAACTATGTCCTTACATTCCCAGCACTTTTTATTTTTTATTTTGAGACAGGGTCTCATTCAGTTGCTGAGGGTCTTGGTAAGTTGTTGAGGATGGCCTTGAACTTGGCAGTCCTCCTGCCTTTGCCTTCTAAGTGATTGGAATTATGAGAGAGCCATCACAAGTGGCTAAACTGATCTTATGATCATTAATGTGGTTGTGACTGAACTGTTAGATAAAAACCTTTGCATGTTTCACATCAGTTTCTGTCAGGCAGGCAAGCTTGAGCAGAAAACATTRATTGATTCATTCAAAGATACATGTTTGAATCAGGTGCCAAGCACTGATCTAGGTGCCAGGATTGTGGTTGATCAAAGTAGTCAAGGCCATGGCTCTCATGAAGCTTACATTCTAGTGGAGGTCTGATAATTGACAAATAATATGATTATTTCAGATAGTGGTAAATGTCCAAAGAAAATAAACTAGGGACCAGCCAGCCACTCTGGGGGCTGAGACAGGAAGATCACAAGTTCAAGGGAAGCCTCAGCAACTTAGTGAGAACCTGTCTCAAAAAATAAAAGAACTAGCAATGCAGCTCAGTGGTAAAGCACCCCTAGGTTCAACCCCAGTATCTAAAAAAAAAAAAAAAAAAATGCAAGCAAGGGAGTTATGCAACCAGATCTATTTTTGTAAGCCTGTCCTGCCAGTATCAGCTTTAGAAATACATTTTGTATATCAGGAAAACCATAGGAAGTTTGTCTGAAATGTTCAGGGTTAGTGGAGTGGGTTCCAGAGAGTGTCTCTGTATGTTGTTACTCATTCCTTGTTTTGTCAGGGCATTGTGAACGAAGTGCGCCAGTCTATGCAGCTGATGCTGAGCCAACTAATTCAGCAACTGAGGACCAACATCCAGCTCCCTGCCTGCCTCCGCGTCATTGGCTACCTACGGCGCATGGACATCTTCACTGAAGCTGAGTTAAGAGTAAAGTTTCTTCAGGCCCGAGATGCTTGGCTCCGTTCCATCCTGACTACAATCCCTAATGATGATCCCTATTTCCATATCACAAAAACTATTGAAGCCTGCCGAGTCCACCTCTTTGATATCATCACACAGTACCGTGCCATTTTCTCAGACGAGGACCCACTGCTGCCAACTGCCATGGGGGAGCACACTGTGAATGAGGGTGCCATCTTTCATGGATGGGTGCTGCAGAAAGTTTCACAGTTCCTGCAGGTGCTGGAGACTGACCTTTACCGGGGTATAGGAGGCCGCTTGGACTCTCTGCTGGGCCAGTGTATGTACTTTGGGCTGTCATTCAGCCGGGTGGGGGCTGATTTCCGGGGTCAGTTGGCTCCTGTTTTCCAGCAAGTGGCCATCAATACTTTCCAGAAAGCAATTCAGGAAGCAGTGGAAAAATTCCAGGATGAGATGAATTCCTATACCCTCATCTCAGCTCCAGCCATCCTGGGCAGCAGTAACATTCCTGCTGCTGTGCCAGCCACTCAACCAGGGACACTGCAGCCACCAATGGTACTTTTAGACTTCCCTCCCCTTGCGTGCTTCCTCAACAATATTCTGGTTGCCTTCAATGACCTGCGTCTCTGCTGCCCTGTGGCCCTGGCACAGGATGTTACTGGTACCTTGGAGGATGCCCTTGTTAAGGTGAGCACATTCATTGGTTTTCTCCTATCCTGGGCTGCCTTTGGTAACAGATGGCCTGACTTTTGTGATAAACCAGTGGTGTCCTTGGAGAGGTTGTGTAGTTTTGGAAGTTTTTCTAGTTGAGAAATTTCTGCTTTGTGGGAACTGGAACCATCACCATTCACGAAGTGGTTCACCCGAGATCATGATTCAGCAATATATTAGTTTTCTACTGCTATATAACAAATTTCCACAAATTTAGCAGCTTATATGTCTATTATTGCYAGTCGTAGTATCCCTGGGTCCTGTTCAGGGTCTTACCAAGTTGTAGTTAAGCTGTCTAGGCTGTGGTAGCTCAGGACTTCCTTTCAGGCTCATTCAGGTTGGCAGTTTTCATTCCTGACAGTTAACAAAAGTTTTTTGACTGAGATCCTCAACTCTGTGGAGGGCTGTCCCCTCCACAGACAGACAGCTCATAGCATAGATGTTTCTTCCTTTTTTTTTTTTTTTTTTTTTTTTGGTACCATGGATTGAACCCAGGGGCACTTAACCACTGAGCTACATCCCCAGCCCTTTTTTATATTTTATTTAGAGGCAGGGTCTAAATAAAATATTGCTCAGGGGCTTACCAAGTTGCTGAGGCTGGCTTTGAATTCATGATCCTCCTGCTTCAGCTTTCTAAACTGCTGGGATTACAGGAATGTGCTACCATTCCTGGCTATGGCTGTTTCTTTAAGGCCAGCAGGAGAGCATCTCTCCTACTTTAGTCTCTTCTTTTAGGTATATTGTTTTAAAAGGTTCATCTCTCATGTATAACTGAAAAGAACAAATTAAAAAGTTCATTTGATTAAGTCATACCCATCCAGGATAATCTCCCTTTTGATTAATTCAAAGTTAACTGCTTCATTTTCTTGGATCCATCACAGACCTGGTCCAGCCCCCAAGGATATCAAAAACCATGTATTCTCTGTATAATTTCATGACTCTTCCACTAGAACTGGAGACTACACCAGTAATGAAACAAGTTGGGTAAGAAATAYATTAGGAAGATGACAATTGCAAAGATTGGCCACAGTTCTGAGTTTAAACAAGATAGTATTGTTTGCAATGAAAACCTGAAGGTTGAGCTGGGGATACAGCTCAGTTGGTAGAGTGCTTGCCTCGAATGCACAAGGCCCTGGGTTCAATCCTCWGCACCACAAAAAAGAAGAAAAAGAAAGAAAACAAACCTGAAGGCTGCACATCTGTGCTCCATTTCATGCACTGTGCCAGTGATTGATGGTATTCTTGTCTTTTAGGTAACTAAAATAATCCTGGCCTTCCATCGCGCAGAAGAGGCTGCCTTCAGCAGTGGAGAACAAGAGCTCTTCGTCCAATTTTGCACTGTCTTCCTGGAAGACCTTGTTCCTTATTTAAATCGTTGTCTTCAAGTCCTTTTCCCACCAGCTCAGCTAGCACAGACTTTAGGTAAGAGAAAGGATTTTTTAAAAAACTTTTACAGGTATGTAATTTGTTTTTTAGTAAATATACAAATATGTACAATAGACACGCCATAGAATTTTATAACATCTCCAACACCTCAAAAAAGATAATTTGTGCCGACTTTTAGTTCCTCCTCAATCATATCCTTAGCCCCAGGCAACCTCCATTCTGTTTATTTCTGTCCCAGTTTATTTTTGTAGTGTTAGAGATCAAACCTGAGTCCTTCTGTTTGCCCACAAGTCCTCTACCACTGAGCTGCATCCCCAGCCCCAGAGAARGGTTTTTTGCTTTGTTTCTGTGGTACTGGGGATTGAACCCAGGGGTATTCTACCACCAAGCTATGCCCCAGCCCATTCTTGAAATAGGATTTCACCAAGTTGCTGAGGAATTACAGGTGTAAACCACCACACCCAGCATTAGAGAAGGGTTTTTATTATTATTTAGGGTTTTTTTGAGGGTCGTTCTGGAGACTGAACCCAGGGTCTCAAGCATCCTAGGCAAGCATGTGGCCAGCCCCAGAGAGGAGGGATTTTAAAAATATTTTTTTCCCCAGTTTGCTTTCTCCTCACTTGCTTTCATCCTCATCCTGGTGGAGCTGGGGGTGAGGGAGGCACAACTCCCCAAAGGGTAGTAAGTTAGTGATCACACTGGCTAAGAGTGGCTGCCCTCCATCTTGGCCCTAATTTTTCCTTGGGTCTGTCCCAGGAATCTGTGCTAAGTAATCTTTTTGCTCTGGCTCCATCCASTGTTCCCTATGCTATTCCAAATTACCATTGTGGTCTTGCTTTACAGTATAGTTTCTTGTCCCACATCACAAAGATGGTCTTTGCTGTATTGAAATATGTAATTTTGAGCCAGGCTTAATGCCCCATCCCTCTAATTCCAGAGATTCAGGAGGTTGAGGCAGGAGGATCAAGTCCAAAGCCAGCCCCAGCAACTTAGAACTTGTCTCTGAATACAAAAGGGCTGCAATGTAGTTCAGTGGTAAAGCAGCTCTGGGTTCAATTTCTGGTACCAAAAAGGAAAAGAAAAAAAAAGTAATTGGTGTGTGTTTCTTACTCTAGTATTTTTTTTCCCTGTGACTTCTGTATTTGATTTTATTAATAACGTTTTTTTCCATTTCCCTTTCCCTACCATCTGGGGCAGGCATTCCACCCACTCAGCTTTCCAAATATGGAAACCTTGGGCATGTGGACATCATCCTTATCCAGGAGCCTCTCGAATTTATCCTGCCTAAGAGAGAAGTGGTCTTCTCTCTAGATGACAAGGAGCTAGCATCCAAGCTCACAGATTCTGCACCGCAGCCTCCTGCTGAGGAGCCGATTTTGGGGTCTGCTGCTGCAGCGTGCCACGCTGGTGGGCCAGAGGAGATGGAGACAGCGGAGTCGCCGCAGGGGAAGCTGAGGGAGGGGGGTGCGTTGCTGGCCGAGGCGCCTAATACGGGGTCTTAGCCGGTGTTCAAGTCGCCCAGGATGGGGAGCAGCTTGTGGTGCGTGGGATCAGAAGTTCCAGCAACTCGGGGCATAGAGTCGCTGTCGGTCAGGGCTGCGTCGCCAGGAACGGGCTGCGAGGTTGTTCACGGGGACAAAGAGGGTACTTCCCAGTCACTCCTGTACGTGGGTGGAATTAAAACAATAAAGCTGGACGATAGTCACGACCTGGCTGCTGGTCCTCTCGCTGATGGTCTCTCCCAAGGTGCGCGGCAACTACACTTCCCGGCGTCCCTGGCGGCAGCGGGGCGGGGGAAACGGCCGGGGGGAGCGGGTTCCTGCTGGTGCGCGCCATGGGTCGGCTGTTGAACACGCTGCCGCTGTTAGGAACGCTGCGGGCGCGTGGCTGCCCAGGGACCGGCCCGCTATGCGGAGCTGGAGCGGGTGGCGCACGGGCCTGCAGCTCCAAAGCGGCCGTGGACGGTCTAGAGGGCCCGSCGCGCCAGCGCTCCTACCGGCACTACGTGAGACGTCTGTTGTTAGGAGCGCCGCAGCCGCCGTACTTGCACGTTTGCCAGATCGGGGACCCGGTGCTGCGGGCGGTAGCGGCCCCGGTGGAGCCGGCGCAACTGGAGACCCCGGAGCTGCAGCGGCTGGTGGAGCGGCTAGTGCAGGTGATGCGGCGCCGGCGATGCGTAGGCCTGAGCGCGCCGCAGCTGGGGGTGCCGCTGCAGGTGCTGGCCCTGGAGTTCCCCGAGGCGCTCTTCCGCGCCTGCGCGCCGCGCCTGCGCGCGCTCCGCCAGATGGAGCCTTTTCCGCTGCGCGTGCTCGTGAACCCTCGTCTGCGGGTGCTGGATAGCAACGTTGTCACCTTTCCCGAGGGCTGCGAGAGCGTCGCCGGCTTCCTGGCCTGCGTTCCCCGCTTCCAGGCTGTGCAGATCTCAGGTGCGGGCGGCCGGGCCGGGGCGGCTGGGTAACTTTGCGCTCTCGCCCTGACAGTGGAGGCGGCGGCACCGGAGCCCACGGAACGGTCTCTGCGAAGCTCCAGGGAGTGTGCAGACTTGCACACTCTGCAGAGGCTCCCTTGGGAGCAAAGCAGGACCAGGGAGCGCTAGGGACTCGGGAGTGTCGGACTGGTGGGGAAGGAGGCTTCTGTCAGGTCAGGGCTCCCTCGGGACACGGGTTGGGAGGTGCCCGTCCAGCCTGGATTTAATTCTCTTTTCCTGTCTCCTCCTCTGCTTCTCTCTCTCCCTCCTTCCCCACACCCCACATTCGTTTCCTCTCCCTCTCTCCTGCCCCACTGTATCTGTCAAAATGGGTTTGGAGAAGTGGAACCCAGCGTTGCCAAGCCCAGGGCAGTAAACCATCCGCCTYTGTCATACCATAGATGTTTTGTAGAATGGTTCTCTGAAGGGGTTGGGATGACTGTTATTCTTGAGCAAATAACTTCGGCCAAGRAGGTCAGAAGGTGTCTCTTTATTTTCTACTCTACCAGGCTAACATACCTTTGATAGGAAGCAACACTTGACAAGTGAGAAGAAAGGAGGGCATCTTAGCGAAAGATTTCTCATTGTCCGCCTCATATTGAGCCCCACAACCTTATTATTAGAGGGGGAACTAGGTATACTTGGGAATGGGCAGAATTGAGGCATCTTCTCTAGGAGGGGTAGGGGCTGCTGTCTACATTTGCTTACTTATGTTGCCTCTTGTAAATAGGAGCAAACAGGGCAGGGGGCAGGGAACAGCACAAGGAGGTTGAGAATGATGCAGTTAAGCATGTCCTCACCTCACCTGGATCAKCATGTAACTTTCTTTACAGGAATGGACCCAAGAGGAGAACAGGTGGAGTGGCAGGCAAGAGGGTGGACAGCCCGCATCATCCAGCATGAGATGGACCACTTGCAAGGCTGCCTGTTCATTGACAAAATGGACAGCAGGACATTTACAAACATCCACTGGATGGAGGTGAATGACTGAAGCTTTCCTGCTGGGGCTGAGGATCTGGAAAGACTAAATGCAAATACCTGAATCTGAGYTGGGAATATCTTATTTGCCTTCAACTTGGTATTGGTCCTGATATGAAACAAAACATTGGACTTCCAGAGCATATTGAACTGAGTTAGAGGACAATCTTAGAAATGTTTATTCCAGTGAGGTTTGGACAAAATATTGCTACAATTTGAGAAAAATAACCCCCCTGAAATGGATGTGTCTTGACATTTTTGTATGGAGAGAAGAGGGGCAAGTACATAACCATTCTCAACAGTGATATCATAAGACCTGTATAACTTACTTCCAAAGCCAAGATTTCATAGTAACACAGTTCCCAAATATTAGAAAGCTGTGTTTTAAAATGCAGGTAAGGGGGCTGAGGCTGTAGCTCAGTGGCAGAGCACTTGCCTAGTATTCCTGAGGCACTGGGTTCAACCCTCAGCACCGCATAAAAATAAACTAATAAAGACATTCTGTCCATCTACACCTATAAAACAAAAAGTTAAAAAAATGCAGATAAGGCATTTTTCTGAGTTTCTCTGAGTTCTTTTTACAAAGGGCTTGTATATGTCTGACTTGGAGAGTCCTTGTTTGCCTTGGATACCAGGTGCTTATAAAAGTAAAACACAGGACAGAGTGGTCCCAATTCAAGAAAGTGTTTAATAACATTATTAATGTAAATACGTATCCACACATTTTAACAGGTTCAGATAGTTTAGGTCTCCACCTTTCTTTCTCTCTTTTTTTAAGATGGCATCTTGTTGCCTTGCTCAAGCTGGGCTCAAACTCCCAGTCTTCTTGCCTCAACCTCTGAAGTAAGTGGGATTATAGGTGTGCACCACTGTACCCAGCTCAGGTCTATTACCTGCCACCTTTAACAAAGGTAGGGAAAAGTTTGCTGCTAAGATCTGTTGAACAGCGGGTACTTGGCTCATTGGTTGGGTGGAGGCCATGGAACAGGGCTGGAGGTGGGAATGACAACTGATAGGGAGCGAGCCCCTTCCTGTCACAATTAAGATAGTAATGGAAAGCAGAATTGGTACTTAGCTGTTTACCATGCTTATTTTGAAAAAAATAAATTAGCATCATACTACCAGTGTTTAACTTTTACGAAACTGTTGAGTTTTGTCAAGAGGTGAAGGAATTCCAAAAGTATTAGGTAAATTGTCTAACCTCATTTTTATGTTGAGGTTTGAGGTATTCAAGTTTTTTTGTTTGTTTTTATTTGTATTGCTGGAGGCTGTGCACAGGCTCTACCACTGAACTATACCCTTAGCCTCTGAAGCAGGTGTTCTTGTAAAACAAAATCCTCAGTGTACACAAATGAGGGCTGGGGGTGTAGGTCAATGGCAGGTCAGAGCACTTGTCTAGCATGCGGGAGGTCCTGGGTTTAATCCCCAGTACTGCAAAAACACAATAACATGCACGGAGGTGCATGCCTGTAATTTTAGCTAGTTAGGAGGCGGAGGTAAGAAAATCACAAGTTGGAGGCCAGCCTGGACAACTTAGTGAGACAATCTCAAAAACTAAAAAGGGCTGGGCATGTAGCTTAGTGGTAGGGAGTCCAGTAAATTATTTAGACAAGCCCAGGAAAAACCCACTCTTGTTTATAGTTTTCTCTAACTTTGGAGCAGGCTGACAGGCTGAAGATGCAGTGAAACTGGAGAAAAATCACCACCAAGCACTGCCCCACGGTTAGACTACAATGCTTCCTTGTAGTCTGAGGGTCACAGCCCTTTGGTGATACCTTTGTGATGGTCAGTATCAACAAATCCTTGCATTTCCAATAAAGAAAATTTCTCTCATCAAGGTAGGTATTGGCCACAAAAACCACACACATGTACCAGTTAGAATCTTGAACTTTTTTTTTTTTTTTTTGCTTTTTGGGTATCAGGGATTGAACCCAGGGGTGCTACATCCCCAGCCTGTTTTATTTTTGAGACAGGGCCTCACTRAGTTGCTGAGGCTGGTCCCCAACTTGTGATCCTCCTGCCTCAGCCTCCCAAGTTGTTGGGATTATAAGCATGTGCCATCATGCCTGGTCCCACACAGGTTTTAAGAAAAGAATTAAGGCTGGGGATGTAGCTCACTGGTAGAGAATGTGCTTAGTATGCTTGAGGGCCTGCATTCAGTCCCAATAAAATAAAATATAGATGAATAATACCAGTTTTGGAGGGAAGAATGGCTAGACCATCCCTTCACAGGCCTTTTCCATGTGGTTGTCAGGGTGAAGCTAAAAGTGCTGTGTCTGCTCCATATCACACAGCATTTCTGGGGCTGCCAGCTTTGGAACCTTGGTGTCTACTTCAGGGGTCACCAAGTCCACTGGCTGCCTCCCAGGGTGGAGAAATGAGTGGGGAAAGGGAACTCCTTTTAAACAGGGCAGCCCCTGCCAGGGATGTAGGCCTAGTTTTACCTCCAGAGCCAGAATTCTTTCTTTTTTTTTTTTTTTTTTTTGGTACTAGGGATTGAACACCTGGGTGCTTTACCACTGAGCTACATCCCCAGCCCTTTTATTTTTGAGTCAGGACCTCACTACATTGCTAAAACTGGCCTTGAACTTGGGATCCTCTGGCCTCAGGAGTTCAAGTCACTGGTATTACAGGTGTGTGTCACCACCCAGAAAAATCTACATTTTTATGTCAATTTTTGATTTTTTAAATGTTGGCAGCAGACCAAACCAAACAGCTGCAGGTTATGTCTGACACATAGGCCTCCCACTTTGCAGTCTGTGATCTGGACACTGGACAATAAGAAGAGCTGACCAGGTCCCTTAAATACCCCCAGCCAATCTTCTGAGCCACCTTACTGGAGAGCAGACCTGAGAACTGTAGAAGGTGGCCAGCATTCCTGCTTGCTTCCTACTCTGCTGAGRAGAGGAGAGGAAGAAGCAAAGAAAATGAGAGCATGTTACTGGAAGCAAAAGTGGCCTTCAGGTAGCCCCAGACAAGTCAAAGATGAGACCACTCCAGTGGCTCAAGAAGGGAAAAGGATTTATTAGACCATCTCCAGGACAGGGACCCAGGGCAGTGGCTGGGTTCAGTGTTCTTACACTCGGGAGGGTGGGGCTGGGGGGGGGTGGGGAGGCAGCAGTGAAGATGCACCTGCCTTCTCTCCTGATCAAAACAGCTTTGTGCTCACAGAAACCATCTCCTCCTCTTGCAAGGAAGACACAGGGCTCTGGATGCAAACCTAGGAGGGTGGGAATGGCTTTTCTTACTCTTCATCAGTCTGTTCTCAGCCAAACTTGGCCATAAAAGTAACTGGGGCCTGGCTACTCCCACACCTTGACACTTCCAGGGGATTTTACCTTTATAAACAAGACAAATCAAAGCAGCATTAATTTAGGGAAACAAAAATAAAAAAGACATGGAGGGGCAGGAAAAGGAACTGGTCAGCATCCAGAAGAGAGAACTAGGAAGAACCAGTATCCACTGTGTGCCAGACCGCAGCGGAGCGTCATCTGCTGTGGAGGCCCTTTTCTTCCTGCTCCCTGGCTGGCGGCCAGACAGCAGAGAAGACACTGTGGTGACTTTAGGACGAGCCCTGGAGCCCTGTCTGGCCACCAGTGTAGGGAGTACCGTAGATGTGCCCCAATCAACCTCCCACCTTCACCTTCACCCATGTGAAGAAGCTTTTAACTCTCCTGTCCAAAGTCCTCTGAGAATTTCTTCACTTTCAGGAGGTCATCTGCATTCACTGTGGGCCGGGTGGTGGCCAAAGACCGGAGCATGTCCGACTGTAAAGACAAGAGCATACTGCTGAGAAGCAGCCAGGCTCCAGATGCTAGGCCTCCTTCCTTGCACAGCTATGCCATCTAGGGTAGCAAGGTCATTGCCCAGTGCAGAACTCCCTACAGTTGCTAAACTAGAATCAGCCTGTGACAGGCAGCATAGTGAGGCAGCACATATCATTTCCAGAGGTCTGATCTGAATGAATCAAGGCTCCATCCTATCATAACTCCCATTTTTAAATTTTTTGCCTATCACACCAGGATAGAATGAGCACTGCGACTGGCAAGACTAGGAGATGGATAGGGCCACACTACCTGGGTGAGAGGCTGCCTCTGCCTCTGCCACTGCATTAAATGAAACCTTGCTGACATACTTTTTCTGGTTTCTTCTGGACCAATTAAGCCAAACCTCTGGGATGACAGTTACATTATCTAAACTTTACTCTTTCTACTAAAGTATATAAACTTTATGTACTTTAGTAGGATATATAGCCTCTGCTCCCCTTGAGTCACAGCAAGATCCTCAGCAACCCAAAGCTACAAAGGTCACCGTTTCAGAGGAGCCATGATAGCTCAGGCTACGGAAGGAAAGAAGTTCATTTTTCTTCTTGTCCCAGGCCCCTAATTTTCTGGGCTCTATAGAGTCCCCTCTCCCAGCTGTTTACTTACCATGGAAACCACAGGCTCTAAGAGTTTGTCACTAGGAACCTCCATCCAAGTCATCTCTATGGCCCCTGGGTCCCCTGGAGAGCATGGGGTCAGGAGGTCATCAATCACAATGCTAGGGTTGGTGCGGGAAGGACCACAGACCTGAAACCAAGCAGGAGTTTGACAGGCTGGTATAGCTGTTCTTCACTGTTAAGGGACAGTAGAACACCTCAGATTTCTAAAGATGTCCTAAAGAAAGGGAATGGATGGTTTTCTAGGTCATCAGGATCACAAGAATTCTCCTTCAGAATTCCTGGGCTGGCTGGGCCTGGTGGGGTATGCCTGTAATCCCACAACTTGGGAGTCTGAGGCAAGAGGACTGAGTTCAAAGCCAGTCTCAGCAATTTAGTAAGCATCTTAGTGACACCCTGTCTCAAAATAAAAAGTGCTGGGGTTGTGGCTAAATGGTTAAGCACCTCTGGGTTCAATCTCTGGTACCAAACCAAACAAAAATTCCTAGGCTAGCAGGGTAGAGTGGCTACATGCCTGTAATACCAGCTACTCAGGAGGCTGAGGCAGGAAGATCTCAAATTCTAGGTCAGCCTGGGCAACTTAGTGAAACCCTATCTCAAAATCAAAGAATATAAAGGGCTAACTGGGCCGAACATGGTGGCAAAAGCTTGTAATCCCAGTGACTCAGGAGGCTAAGACAGGAGGATCACGAGTTCAAAGCCAGCCTCAGAAAAAGTGAGGCACTAAGCAAATCAGTGAGACCCTGTCTCTAAATAAAACACAAAATAGGGCTG